ATTTTCTAGGAATTGTATGAAATTTCGATATTGTACTAGGAAATGTATAAAATTAATGTATTATAATATATGCATTAGTGACGTTATTGTATGGTCTTCAGGTAGATTTATGACAGACTGAAGTTACACATTATATTCATACATGTTTAGTGCTATTAATTATTATCTGTATTTTTACAATTATTTTAATTCAAAAACTTTTTCGTTTATTTGGATCTAGTGTAATGATTTACTTTCATTACATTTCAAATTTCTGTTTAGGCCATAAATTCCTTTATTCTATTGTTTGGCTTTATGATATTTTGTGAATATTCTCATTGTGACATAGGCAAAATGTACGCGAGGAATTCAAATAGTTCCTGGTAGTATAAATGAGGTTTTTCTGATTGTCACTAACACCTGACTCATTGTTAGCTCATTATTACTTATTCTCACAACTTTTCTGTAGCTGGTTGTACTTGACACCCTCTCGTTTACGACATTCAAGAAATCTCAATTTATTCACCACCAATATATGTTTCAATTAGACTCCACCCCCTTTGTTAGTTGTTCTCCAGTTTTAAGTAAATTTAATGTTGATAGTTAGTATGTAAGAAACCTTCTTATTAAAAATATCAACTAAATTTGCTACTCGCTTTATTTGATAAAATTTTAGTATGCAACTTCCGAGTGGTCTCCGGATAATTTTTTATCTCATGACTGCATCTCACATTCCCGGTAATATATGAATTTATTTCGGGGTTTGCCAAAAGGCGTTGTCAAACCTACCAGAGTATCTACTATACAAGCCACCCTGAGATATTTTTACACCAACAGTGAAACATCGGCGTAGTTTGCTACAATAAAGAATTTATTTACCCTTAGCTAATGTTGCAATTTTTATAAAAAAACGTATAATGGATTTATGTTTAATGTGCCATAAAATTGGCTCCTAAGGTAAACTGTTTTTTCTTTTATTTTAGTATGTATTATCTTTCACAAAACTGCATATTTACTTCTAAGGTTTCGGGCTCGCGTACTGGAATTTTCGTCATAATACTGCTTTCTTACGGTCTCGTAAGCCTTAAATCTTGTTAGCTGTGGATTAAATGTCGCAGACAGTGTTTAGAAAATCATATTATGTTGCCTGACTGTGTCAGTATTTACGTAATCTTTATGCATCGTTTTTGCACATAGCTAATATATGACGGGGTTTGGCATGAGAACACATTACCTTTATATTTTGTGTGAACTATTGATTTGCTATACGTCGAAAGTTGCTATACTTTGTTTTCAGTAAATTGGAAAACTGAATAAGCAATTTGATATGCTGCAAGGTTGCGATTATCACGTCGTTCAACTGCTTTGACATTTTTATAGAAATTAACTCGACTATAACATATACTACTCTTAAACGAAACAGTTTTTTGATTAACTTTGTGGAGTTAGCTTTTAGTTAAGATCTTGAAAGGCCAACAACTCGAAATCTACTGTGCATAACGGCAATCAAAACATCAAATGTTAAAATGGAAACTGCGACATCCTTGCAGTTTGTTGGTAGAAAAATTGACCGTTATACGTAATTTCTAATTTCTATAATATGAATATTTATGTAGCAGAATCACCCCTACATTTGCATTATTTTTTATTTCACCTAATCACTTATAAACGGACTCGAGCGAAATTCGTACTAAAATTGTTCAATTTCGACTAAAAACAGCATCGCATTAACATTTTTAAGGAGCTATTAATAACATTTGAATTAACACTCTGTATATACGATTATTATATTTTTTATTAGGAGTAAAAGTTAGATGCAAATATGTACATATTTTATAAATTTACTTATTTTATCTTCGCTTGTTGGCTAAGATAATTTACCATACATTAGGAATAAATTAATGAAACTATGTAGGTCAGTTAGCTGGATTCTTGTTGATGACCTTCAAGGTAAATTTCATGTGTTGCAACTGCTTAGAACCATTGGAGTTGTTTAATGTTTAAAAAATTACGAATTTCTTTCTCGTTAGTGCTAATAACGTATTTAATTAATTTCTCCAGCTATTTCTCTTTATCAACAACGATGACTAATTAAAACATTAGTGGTTTTGCGTTTCTGGCAGATTTACTTACACAAAAACAATGGGAAATAAATAATTTGCTAATTGGCGTATGTTTTATATCCTAATGTAGGGAATCGGTATGTTTGTTGTTTATCACTTTAGTTTAAATCAGGTGCTTAGTTCTTCGGGTATCTACGTTTGTTAGGTGGTCGCATGGCTCTCATGCGAGACTAAAATGCGTACCATAAAATACATGTAATTTCGTGAAATAGTCGTGAACGGGCATTAAGTGGAAGGTACAGACACGTGTCTGAGATATGAGCAGAAAAGTCAAAAACATCAGAAATAACATAATCGTGTCACTGTCCATATGGCTAAAAGAACCGGGGTGTCTTGGTAAAATAATGTTGTACAATAGGTCGAATTGCTAATTGTTAACAGTAACAGTAGCATTTATCTTGCAGGACTAGTTCTAAGTTATTAAAATTATTTTATGAGAAACAAGCAGTTTAACCCTAACTCTCATCAAAGTAGTTTGTCCAATACAAGATAAACGAATAAAAGAATTAGTAATTACATTCTTGTCATTGAAAATGGATAATGAGAAGGACATCTTGAAAATTAAAGAGAACCCCAGTACGAAGAGAGTGAAAAATAACAGTAGAAAAAAGGATTCATGAAGAAGGGTTGGCATTTTTTTGTTTGTTTTACTGAATTACATATCATTTAAATTTGCCCATATTTGATTTGCCATCAACATCATTAAAGACAGTACAACGGTAGGGACAGATGTCCAAGGGTAAAAGATTGGTATGCTTAGATTTGCAGATGATATAGCAGTATTAGCATCTAGCAAGGAGGACCTGGAGATAGCTTTAAATAAAATGGAAGCGGTACTGACAGATCAGTACTGTTTGAAAATAAATAAATGTAAAACTAAAATACTGGTATGCAAGGGAAGAAAAAGTAGGGAAAGGGCGAATATAAAGATAGGAAACGAAAAATTAGAAGAAATGGCTGATTTTAGATACCTACGAAGTCAGATAAGTCAGGATGGAAGGAGTAGTAGGGATATAAAGCAGAGGATAGCGCAGGGTCGTGTCGCCTTTAATTAAAAGAAGTCACTTTTATGCTCGCGAACGGTTAATTGAGAAATTCGAAATAGTTGTTAAAGGTGTATGTTATATTTACTGATTGTTAAAAAAAGTTAAAAAATAGGTGAATATTTTGATTTACAACATTATACTAACGAAAGTATATCAATAAATTTTCTAAACAAATCAAACTTGTTGATGTCTTATCCACTTGAACGATTTGTATAATTTTAGTTTCGGTAGTTTCTGTGAATAGAAAGTAGAAAAAAAGTTGTTAAAGATAGGGGAGGAATAATACATTTCTTGAAAAAACTTATAAGACTTTGATGGTCGTGCTTCCCCGAAAGAAAGACCTAGCTCAAAAATAATCCTCACCATGATTTCAAAGGACGGTATTAATATAAGTCCTATATCAAAAATATTGAAAAACATTGCATTGGCGTTTTATGACGGTGCCCGATAGTTTACAGTTCTCACTTGAGACATCTCTTTCTTTTGTTGGAATTTGTGAGAAATCAGTGTATTTTCAGTGTATATAATCATTGCTATAATATATTTTGTAGCATGAAAAATAATATGCCTTAGTTATGATCAGTTTATTATTAGTTTACAAAAGTTGTTAAAATACAAATTTTAATATTGGGTTCTGCTAAGCGTTTTCTGGTAGATAGTCAGTAATAAACAAGATTAGTTGGTAAATTTTGGACTCTACGTTTAAATAAAAAAACAAAACGTAGGGTTATTTTTATTCTTCCCGCTTAAACTATCCTGAAAGTAAACCTTTTCGAGTGTAAAATTGGTATAATACTGACAGCCGTGACCTAGGTTTAATTCGATTTATTTGCTTCGTCCCGTCAAAAATTCTATAAATATTAATGTTTCATTACAGAAGGTCGACCCGGAATTGATTTTCACGAAACAAGAACGCATCGGTAAGGGTTCTTTCGGTGAAGTGTTCAAGGGGATCGACAACCGTACCACTCAAGTAGTCGCCATAAAAATAATCGATCTCGAAGAAGCCGAAGATGAGATCGAGGACATCCAACAAGAGATTATGGTTTTGTCGCAGTGTGACAGCCCGTTCGTTACGAAATATTACGGATCGTATCTTAAGGTAAGTCTTTTTAACGACATTAGAAACAGAATTTCTTTTTAAAATGTCAACAGTACGGAGCGATATGTTAGCCACATCTGAAAATGGAAGACGGTGTTCGTATAATTAGTGATTAATTACATTCTACCTAATTAGATCAACGTATAGAGTTTTTCCCCTTAGAAAAATGGAGTACGTACACACGGTGCGGCTCAAACACATCATGGTTGTCATTCTCATAAATAAATAAAATAAAGATAAAAAGTATTGCGGTACAATATCAGTTTTCTGTGCATTTACAATGCACAGCATTTGATATCGTAGTGGTTAGTTAGTTGATAAACAATACCATATACTTTTGGTCACCATACAGATCTGTTTTCACTTTAATTTTAAAAAGTTATATTAAGTGTCCCATTTCTTCCCCTTCTTTAGTTTAAGATAATAATAGGATATCAGAGCCAAATAAGGACACGTCTTGTTCTGTCCCAGCTCACTACCAGGTTTTTATAGTTGTTTTTAACTATTTATTTATTTATATACGCTTATAATCATTTATTATATTCACACTCTTGAATAGGTTTGTCGATGACATAAAAGGAGTTTCTGATTTTATTTTACAATAGAAAGATAGGTTGGTACGACACCTTCTCAGGAATGAAGGTCTAGTCAGAGACATATTAGAGGCAGGAACAGGGAGTTAAGAGTAGTAGAGGTAGACCTAGATTAGATTACTGTTCGCAGATAGTTAGGGATGTGGGTTGTTCTAGTTTTAGGGAAATGCGAAGATTAGCTCAGGATAGGTAAGAGAGGACGTGCGTGTCCAACCTATTTAAGGACTGATGACCTTATGATGATGATGTGTATTGTGCTACTAAGTTTTTTTTTTCTTTGATGGTTTGCCAGCAATACATGGTAACACTTAAAAAAACCTACGTTGTTAAAGACTTGTTAAAGACTAAAGGCGAGACGTCGGCGTGGTTTTACTACGATAGAAACTTTTTGCTCCTAGTTGGCTCTGATTTTCTATTGTTATATTAAAAGTTTTAAACCGAGTTATGTTGTTTTCTTACGTGTAATTAATGGCTAGTTGGACTCCTTGACGTTTCGGTAGTCATATCGTTGCTTGTTTTTAGAAGATCTGATCTTCTAGGGTTCTAAACTGCGTCGGTTTTTTAGAAGAATTGACGTCACGGGAATCAGTTGTTTTCTTCAGAATATCCGATATCCTGTTCTAAACCCTGTATATTGTCAAATTGGTAAAGCTTTCGCGACCAGCAAGTGAACTGAAGCTATCCTGATTCGGGCCTAAAGGCCATCGTCGGTTGGAATTGCTTCCTAACGTTTCGATAGCACGAGTGGCGAGCTTCTTTAGAGGTTTTTCCATCTCTGATGTTGAATGTGGATGTCCAGGACCTCTGAAGAAGCTTGCCACTCTTGCTAGCGAAACGTTAGTAAGAAACTTCAATCGAATACGGCTTTTAGAGCTGAATTAGTACAGCAGCAGTTTCGGTAGATTGTTGAGGTTATTTGACGTTTCAGTAATCATATCGCGGTTTTCTTTAGAATATTTTATCCGGACAATTTTTGATTTCATGTAATAACTGCCGCGTACGTCGCCTTAAAATAATTTAAAAAGTTTTTCTGTCTGTATGTTCTTAATGTATGTTCGCTTTCTTCTATAAAGTTTTGACATAGCTAACGCAATATTTATACGTACTAGCTGTTGCCGAAAACTGGCTGGGGGGTTTACGATTATATAAAAACAATAATAATTATCATAATAATAATAATAATTTCCGACCTTTCTTACTGTTGGGACCAGTAACAGTAAGGAATTGGGGTAGAAAAGTTTAAGTTGACCATCAGATTTGCTCGACAAATACTGTCGAACATCGCCATTAGGTCACTTTCACATAGCGCGATAACGACACGATTTACTGCATGCAGTAAATTGCAGCAACGGTAGAAAAATATATCCAAAATAAATGTATCTAAAGTGAACGCTTTCACACTTTGTATCAACAAATCGTGCGAAAAAAATACTGCACACTTTTAACAGATCTTTCTCAAAGAAAAAACATTCAATTATGAAATGGTCGATTTAATAGAACTACTGTTTTTTCGTTCCATTAGATACATACAACTAAACTGGACAACACTGCTAGGATAGATAGGCTCGCATTTAAACTTGGAACGTTGTCGAAACAATATTTGGTCGCATAATGTGAAAGCAGCGTTCCGATACGATACGACAAATCGCGTGCAGTAAATCGTGTCGTTATCGCACTGTGTGAAAGTGGCCTTAATCTCTATTGACAAAATGGATGGGTGCAGGACATTTCTCAGATTTAGTGTCATCCCAAGGAGAAAATTAGAAAATCATTGACAGTGAAAATTGTGGCTAATGTTAAAGTCACCGTCAAGTTTCTTTATTTTCCGTAAATATCTTGAGAAAAGTTTTTTTATTATGAAAACCTGATCCTGAAAAGTTATACGTGGATTCCGGGTTTATGACATGTTTTATAAGTTTTGTTATCTACACAGTAGTTTTTAGTAGGTACATAATTTTTTACATTACGTAGAAAGTTCGATAGTAAACTTTGCCTGCATCCATTACAAGCGTTTTATTTTTATTTCCTTCTATATAATTGTGCTTATCGTAAAACATTTATGCATATCCCAAGAAATGCATACATGACTTTTATCGCTAGTCTCCAGCAGGAATTAAAACGCATTATGTTGTTTTTATCGTGTATTAGCGATTTTCAGGGAAATAACTGATGGCGACTCAAACTTTTTTAATGCTGTCATTATTTTTATTTTCTATTGCACTATATACTAGCACGTAAAGCCGGACAACGTTGTCGTCATTCACTGACATTACTGACTGCTTGTACCATCACAATTAATGTTTTATTGCAAATAAATCTTGGTCAAAAGCAGATACATCTGCGGCAGGTAGTAATTTTGATTGCAACTGGTTTAGTATCAACATATTCCACAGATTACGATATTAGACTGCACATTTGAGTGAGCACACCTCCACGTTTATTTGACTATTGAAGACGTGCCCGAAGGATGGCGACAAATAATGGAAACGACACAATTAAGAAACTTTTTCAGAAAAAGCAACATACAATGACTTCAATAGCCGTTTAATGTAGGAAATAAGAAAAAAAAGGAATTTGATCTATCCCAGCGTAAATAAGAACAATAGAACAATTTGCGTAAATGTGCTATAAGTGATCGAAGAAAACCACACAAAAACTTGAACCAGGGCGCAATTGAATGGGTGTTTTCCCGAATGCTAAGCAGTGGTCTAAATTTCTAAGTCATGCGGCTGTAACTGTAACCTTCTGATCCTAAATTTAAGGGTAGACATTTTTGGTTCCGCTGTTATCCCGTAAGGAAGCGCAAGTGGAATCACTTGTATTTACCCAATTTTTCTAACAGTGAAAAGAACAAATTCCTCGTGGACTGATTTTTTTTTATTGTTTTTTCCTTTTGTATAGCTTTGGTAGCATAAATTTTGCTTGAAAAAAGAACAATGGTTTGATGTGTTTTTGTTAGAATTGTAGGCATTATTTACAAGCGTTGTCTTCTAGATGAAAAAGAAATAAGTATTTATCGTTTCAATGAAAATAGTGTCTATTTTGGAAATAAAATGATTATTGGACACTTACACGGAGTGAGGGACATAGGATGAGCAAAGGCTATGTACATATTAAAGATATACACGTATACATGGTGTTTTAAAAGAAATGGTAAATATTTTGGAAGATGGTAGTACTGACGATTATTTTGTCTAAAAAGCTCAGATGATCTGTCTGAAAAGGCTTCCTTTCAGAAATAAAGGGTTTAACAGCAATGCCATTACTTTATGTGGAATTTAATAGAAAAGAGTCTTTCATGGTTGAATATTTCTAATTGTATTACATAAAAATGTTACGAATTTTTCGTAAATCCTGTGATATGCGCCAAAATTACCTTTTTGTGATTTCAGAATATCGTATTGATTCCCGAAAGAAAGTTACAGGTAGTTTCTTTATTAGTTTAGTGTATTTCTTTGTACTTTCAGAGTTTTGTATTAGTTTTTCATCACTTTTAAGCATTTTCCTTTCTTTTAAGAAAACGTAGAGCACTGCTGCCATTACAGGTTTACATATCCAATTCGTACTGATTTACTGTAATATTTTATCAAATTTTGTAAAATTATATAAAACCGTTTTTTGAGAGGGTATTATAATATTAATTAAAAACCCTTTATCTCTAAAACGAAGCACAAGTTTATTTGCATTTTTTACTCAGAGTAATTGCCATCTTCCAAAATATTTGCCATTCTCTCTGAAACTTGTAGGTAGAAGTGAAACTTCTGTAATATTTAATTGAAAAATTTGCTCACCTTTAGCTATATGCTCATGGATTTATTTAGGTATATGTATAGTTTAAGGTTCAAATATTTGTTGATAAACAAATTTAATTGCGATATTCTGTTACAATGCGGGTTTATAACGTGACACATTAAATGATCGACCCTAGGTAAACACGTTAAAATCAAATATACGTAGGCGAATTCGCAACTCAAAAGGGTTGTTATATTAGGTACGCTCATATATAGATAGTACATCTAAATGTGACTTGTTTCCATAAATTACAATAAGAATTACGGTGATCATGGGTTCCTTAAGCTGATAACGCATGAGGGTAGATCGTCAGTTAAGATTATACGATTGCCTTGTGGAAATCCTTACATATCCTTATTTATGGCTCGGTTAAAAGGATGACGCAAATTACCCCTCTAATACGTTACCTACATACTATTATGTGATACTGAAATACATAATATAAATCATTGGATCTGGGAAAATATCTCGGCGTGCTAATTAAGTAAAATTACACGAAAATTAAATATACGAGGTGTTTGGTTATTAAGATATATAATTTGGACTTTTTTAAATTAGGTCCTTTGGTTATCACTGTTAACTATTGTAGTAACAGTTGAAAATCATTATAATCAT